CATTGGATAATGATGGTTAAAAGCAATCTTTAAGTCCTCAATTTAAAACGAATTTTAGTAATTATTCATTATGATGTGGATTTCATATAAACCCATATAATTAATAGTTATAGAAATTTAATTTCAAAATTTCATCTAAAATTAAATCCTAAAAATAAATATGTTTTTGTATTTCAACCTAAAAAAAGTACAAATATTTATTGTTAGATTATTGAAGGATTGAAAAAAATGTCAGATTATAAAATTTGAGCACACAAATCTCGTTTTATAAACAAATTAGTCTGATTTTGAAAAAATTAAAACAAAAACACAACTAAAATAATAGTAGTAGAAGTTAGAAATATAGGAGCCCCTTTCTTTTCTAATTCCCAGCAAATTTGCGACCAGGAAGCTAGATATGTGAAAAGATAAATTTAACAACTGGAGTTGATGCAAATAATAAAACAGAAAAGATCAAAAGAAAAAAAAAAGGAAAATTAGGCCAGGGCATCCTATCACAATTGCATGATGGATGTAATATAGTTGAGACCTACAGAAAATTATCACTAAAAATTATCTCATTGCATTAAATCTATATGATGGATTTAAAATTTATTTGGCCTAATAAATAAACACTTTAGATAAGTAAAAGAAAAGAAAATGATCCGTTGTCAGAACTTGAACAATTTATAAATTTTGAAGAAATTTTAACCATTTTGCTATAAAGATTTCTTTGTTAATTTGTGAAAAAAAATAACTTTTACATAGAGAAACTATTAAACAGGAAAAAAAAAAAGGAGGAGAAAAAAAAATTCCTTATGTCATGATTGTAATTGAATTTCTAAAATTTAATTAAGAAAAACGGAAAGAGACATTTGGTTACTGAAGCAAAATAGGGTCTCTCATTATTCAAATTCTTACAAAAGATAGTAACCAAATGTCTCTTCCTGTTTTTCTTTATTTGCAATTTTAGAAATTCCGCTACAATCATGACATAAGGATTTTTTTTTTCTCCTCTTTTTTTTTTTCCCTGTTTAATAGTTTCTCTATGTAAAAGTTATTTTTGTTCACAAATTAACAAAGAAATCTTTATAGCAAAATGGTTAAAATTTCTTCAAAAATTTATAAATTGTTCGAGTTCTGACAGCGGATCATTTCTTTTTTTTTTTTTACTTATCTAAAGTGTTTATTTATTAGGCCAAATAAACTTTAAATCCATCATATAGATTTAATGTAATGAGATAATCTCTAGTGATAATTGAACTAATTATGTATAATAGATCAACAACTTAAATATTTAATGATAATTTTTAATTTCTTAGATCCAAAAAATAAATCATGTATTCATTTGAGTCAATGTAAAATATAAATAAAATAAAATTAAAGAAAGAAGAAGAACAAACCACAATAAAAAAATAATAATTAAAACGACAAAAAGAAACACCAAATAGTTAGGAATAGTTATTTATTTATTTATTTATGATTTACATAATAGATCTCTTGTAGAATTTAATTGATCTGTTGCTTTTTTCACTTCCATGCAGACCAGAAAAGTGTCCTTGAATAAAACTGTTTTTCTTTGCAAGGGAGGGGCCCACAAACAAGGGTGGCGCAACCAAAAAAGAAAAATAAAAAAAGCCTAACTGATTTGACCGTTTAACTTAACGGTCAATAAACAACACCGTTAGCTTCCAGTGGATGGAGGGACGACATTAGCATGGTTTTGCATTGTAGAGGGACGACAGGTAGAGTTAATTAATAGTAGAGGGACGACTTGAAGCCAATCCATAGTAGAAGGTTTAGAATGCACTATTTTTGATAGTAGAGGGATGATAAATGGCCTTAACCCTTAAATTAATTAATTGGTTTTTGCGTTTAGAGAAGTAAACACAAAAATAAATCGAACAAACAACGTATTTACGAGTCTTTGTGGCCTGTGGGTATCGTTTTGTTTGTTTTAATGTGTATTTAAATAACTTAATTTTTTT